TTTTTCCTCTCCGAAGACTAGCAGAGGCGAACGGCAGCGTACGCTTTCAGTGAGTGAGACTTCGTATGTGTGCGTGTGTTTATTGGGGACTCGCGAAAATTCGTTATATCGTCGATGACTTCACCGGCTCGAAAGATGAGTCATTTTACATACACAGAAAATTACGTACTACACTCGAGTAAATATTATTCGCTTCGAGCATTTCTCAAGCTTTATGTATTCGCGAATTGATCACAGGCTGCTCGTAAGCATCAAATTTGCTCAGAATAATTTTGGATAAGTAGTCTAAATAGGTTTGGCATTTCAATCAAAAATATTAAATTAAATTTACAAAAATTTGTTTGCCACATAGAGCCGAAACAACTTTTTCTTCAATAAAGCTTTATAATATTCTTGTAAGGAGAAAAAATTCTTTTCTCACAATAATCTTTTCTCAAAATTGTAATGAGCATAGATACGATACTCTTTAGAACGTGAAGAACCAAAGACAGAAGTGTGGCTAAAAATCCGACGAATTTTGGCGAGTTGCTAATAAACATAAATGTCACGAACGAAGAGAGACTGACATTTACGCGACGTAGAACATTTGCGCGACATTTGCATATTCTTACAACCAAGCCGTAACATAAATTCGCATTGCGGGCGCGATTTTTTAAGAGCAAGCGATATTCTACCGTAGAAGGTCGAGTATGGAAGTGAATCGAACTCATTGCTACTTAGAGGCACCCATCGAGACGATAACCACTTAGACGATCTTCGCTGGTATCTAGAATCGAGAGGAATCTCGCTTCGATGAGGGAAACATTAATAAACGTTTAACCGGTTGCCTTTCATCGTCGCAGCGACGGCCGTCTTCTCGTAGCCGTATTACATTAATAATTGTACGACATATATATATATATATATATATATATATATATATATATATATGCAGCGGCAAATTGACAAAAAAAGAATGTAACAGGTCTTCCAACAAAAAAGAAAAAGCGAGAGAGAGAGGATGGAGGAAAAGAAGGTTGCTCGTGTTGCATTTTTAATTCCTAAATGATTTGAAGCGCAAATCTGTATGATGTAATTTAAATTCAACTTAAATGCATTTTAATCTGAATTTAAAACTCAAATGTAAAATACAATCCACATTTAATTTAATTCCACTCAATTTCGATTCGATCATAATTGAATATTCGTTTAATTATCTCCCTATTATATCAGCGCACAATTGCATCGCGCTCCAACTGTGTTACAATCCATTAATATCCTTGTAATTTTTGCATTGCGAATTTATTATTGCACACTGAAGGAAAAATGTTCGGTTGAATTAATCTTCATAAGAATCCGAAATTATATTTGATTGATCTTCCAACCAAAATATATTCGTTTCATGCCTTACCAGGTTAATCCAAATTGCTAGATTCAAATTGCTGTTTTATGTCGCTTTGAGCTACATTGTACTGAGTGGCAAGATGATATCAAGAAATTCGTATCATCCATTATTAGATTAACATCCATTATTTAGATAGTGAAATATATAAGACCGTAATTTTGTTCGAAGAACAGTGAACTTATGAGTAGCTTTCTTGATGTGCCATTAAAAGTACGCTCCTTGAAAATACGCATATCTGGCGAATAAACTCTTTGAGATAAATTTGACCGCAACATTTTGTTGCAACACATTGTGTACGAAGACATCGAGATGTCCGCGTATATTCGATTTTACGGTCGTCACCTCCGCGCTCTACACCTGTACTGTTCCGTCGGCCGAGATCGACCCTGTCGCCGTCATTTACAATTCTAATTCGTCAACAACGACCCCGTAATCGCGCGCCATCGCGCCTTTTCCTCAATGCGAGCGTGCCAATGTGCAACAACGCTGTCGTTACTGTCGGATAAAATCTTGCTATCGGCGGAGAGCCTTGCTCTCCGCAATGAACGTCATTAGATCGCCTGACATTTACAATTTTTTTTCTTTTTTTAGATTAACCCGCCCTCGCGCGCTCGCGCTCTCACGCACGTCCCCGGTTGTCGTTTCTCGCGAAATTGTTTACCGTATACCACCACGTTATACCGCCGCGCCCGCGACACGCTTTGTGTACGCGAGCCCGCCGTATTCGCCCAACGCCGCTCCCTCATCGCTCCCACCCTCTCATCCTTATTGCATTCCTTTTTCTTCCTCGCCGTTCTTCCTCCGCACGGAGGGCGCGCAATAAAGAAATATCTCAAATACCTGAAATAAACTTCCACCGAGACACTTTTCGTCCGAACCCAACAGGAGGGAGCGGGGACGAGGCAGGAAAAAACAAGAGGGTTTTATATCCTGCTGCTGTCGCGGGGTTTGGCGAACTGCTCGCGAAGAGAGAGAGAAAGAGAAAGAAAAATAGAGAGAGTGAGGGAGAGAGAGAGAGGGAGGGAGGGAGGGAGAGGGGGAGAGAGAGAGGGGTCCTTGGCCTTCGAGCGACTTTCTTTGGAGAGACGCGCGGCGCGTCGCGTACACGCTCGTTGATGTCGGTCGACCACCGGGGGATAAGAGGTTCGATCGAGCGCAAAGTCTATTCAGCCAATAATAATCGACGGGGAGATGCGCGACGACGACTTTGAGAGCGTTACCCTTTGCCTCTCGTCTTCGTCCTTTGAGAATACTCCGGCTGCCAACGCCGATCCAGGCAGCCTCGTAATCATTCTTGGATAAGCGAACGACGGCGATGTGACGTTAGGTGCTGTTAGGATCCTTTTATAGTCGCGTTCGCCGCGCTCTTCCTGTCTCCTTCACACAAAACGTACAACACCACGATGTTCGTTAGCGGTGAACGCGGCAGGAAGTCCTCGGGAAATCGAAGGCTGTTACGCGATGTTTTACGACTACTTTGCTCTTGTCTATATCTCTACCTTGGGGAGTATTTCAATATTAAACATCACATATGCGCTGGGCAATGCATTCACGCCTTGCTCTGCGAAGGCAGGTCCATCGCGCGCACGAAGACATTAACTCGTTCTATAATCTCGCGGCATTAACACCGACGAAGTTGCGGGATGAGCTTAATTTACCCTGTCGTCGTGATACCCCAGTTTACACGACATAAATCGGGTTACATCCTGCCATTTGCCGCGAATCATTATGCGTTGCCGTAGCGGAAAGGAGGAAATTGCAGCGCCGGTAAGACTCGAGTCTATTTTCGCAAGATGGTCTCACGGCCCGGGACAAAAATGCTCTGCAAACGCGTCGCATTTATGCTTAAGTTTTTCCCTCAAACACCTCGAGTTAGTCTTACGACTATGTCGACAATTTCTTTACTTTTCAAATTACAATTACTCAAGTTTTGCTCGAATCACAACCTGTAATAGGTGAATTATGACGCACATATTACATCGACTAATCAATTAATCCGATCTTTCCTGTGATTTGGATCTATCGACACTGAAGACCAATACTGAGAGAAAAACGTCTAAAAAGCAAAAGATATTTATTTGACGAGAAATAACAT